AGAGGAAGTGTGTGTATGCTGCGAGCTCATTTGCAGTTCCTGCGTTTTACTCTGAGTTACGCCACGTGCCAGGAACGTGGCACTCGACAAAGCATTAGTTTACTGATCACATACACACACATTCACACACACACAGACACGCTGCAGCTAATGGTTACCGGCAGATCCAAGCACGAGTGAAGGGGGCGAAATGAAAGAGAGGGGTTAAGTCGCTGAGTATGGAGGGATTTAGACCTCAAACAGTTAGAGGAAAAGAGAGAGAGAGACAAGGAGGGGAGGGCCGGGGGAGTAAAAGAGTGCAGTGAATGACTCACTAAGCGTGTTAGGTTTAACTGTGCCGTACTGGTGTTAGTGAGTGATAGGGAAATCTACAGGGACCAACGGTGAAGCAATGCCACCAGTGCGGCAGTAACTCTTAATTTCCTTCCATTCCAGCTTCTCTCCGAGGCTCAGTAGATAAAGAAGAACCTGCAGTGCAAGAAGGAAGGGAGACCCCTGCATTTCATTTCTCTTCTCTGACTTCATATCCTTCTTCCCATCCCGGACGCTTCTTTAACAGATGAGATATCCCACCATCATTGACCCCGGCGTATTGATATGTTCCACATTTCTTTGTGTGCATGTATGTGTGTGTTTGTCCTGGGAGACTAATGTTATGCCTCCAGTTTCTGCTGCAGAGAAATCAATGACAGCACAAACCTTCCACCTTAGAAAACCAATGATGGGATGGTTAGCAACACACATGTGTTTGTCATGTGTGCACTTTGTGTGTAAGGATGTCTATGCGAGGTTGTTAGCTGATATTTGCACATCCTTTTCAGGGGGAATTATAGATACAGCCGTAAAATATGCTTACTTATCTACTAATCCTCACTAGTGACAATGTCTTTCAAACCTGGAGGTGTTCATTAGCGCTGGCTAATGGCGAACGAGGTGGGCTAATGCGCCAGCTCCTCTCAGAGACCGGAGAGGGCCATTTGTGCCGGGCTGCTGAGATTGATTGGGGCTGGGTGAGAGCGGCATATTGTAGCGTCATTAGCCTTGCTCATTGACCATATGGAGATCAATACTTAGAGCGGCCCGAGGACAGTCAGAAACACACACACACACACACACACACACACACACACACACACACACACACACACACACACACCTTGCTGAGCTCCTTCTGGTACTGAGGCATCTTCTTCAGCATCTGGGACAGATCCCTCATTGTGGTCTGTTGAAAGAAAAGAAAAAGATTGAGTATTCAGCACAAAATATTGTTAAATAGACAAATAGCAGCTACCACAAACCACAAAGGCCAAAAAGCATTTGCATTTAAATAAAGTTGTTCTTTTTACTTAACATTTGACTAGGGATGGGTATCGTTAAGGTTTTAACGGTACTACTACTTTTATCGATACCACTTATTGGTCCGGTCTTTTAACGGTACTTTTATCGGTTCTTTTGGAGAAAAAAATAAGGTAAACCAACTAAACAAATTTTGAACAAAACAAAATAAATAACTCGCTTACCTCTAATCATTAACCCATGTTTGTATAATGTAGTTAACTCCGTGTGTTGCTGCTAGCATACATACCTGACGTGGAAACGTTACTTATGGACGGGGCTACAGAGCTGCTAGAAAGACAGTGGAACCCGGTGCATTCCTCCGTCTGGATGTGGAGCACTTTTGCTAAATGTTTAGACAAATTGCTCGTGTTACCGCCCTGACATGCTAAACTCTTATTGCACTTTAGACGGGTAAAGTTTAACTACACCTCGGAGCGCATGTGTGCATGAGTGTGTGTGTGTGTGTGTGTGTGTGTGTGTGTGTGTGTGTTCGTGGTGTCTGTGTTGTGTGTGTGTGTGTGGTGTGTGTTGTGTGTGTGTGTGTGTGTGTTGTTGCTGCAGTAGCAGCTGCGTGTGTGTTAAACTGCCCCGCCCTCCCAAGCAGGCGGGAGAGAGATCAGAAAATACTAAAAATAATCATTAGAAGCATTTTGCAGTACTTATTGCATATTAGAAACGGGTTGGCGACACTAAAGTGCAAATAATGTTTGTGTAGCAATAATACTATGACATATTTTTTTTACACGTCTCCATCGTAAAAAGGGACCGCTAACGTCAGACTTAACGGTTACCACAGTCTTATAATTCAGCCCGGGGCCCGTTTAACACCGGGGCTCGATACCCCATCCTACATTTGACTGGAGATTCTGATCTTTGCAAAGAACAATCCCAGAAGTGATCAACATGTCTATTCACACTTTGCTACCATAATGTTGGTTAGTGTATGTTCGTATCAACTTTACTTCTGCCCCAGTTTCATCTCTGCTGGCTTTGAAAAGCATTCAGCTGGCGAGTCACTTTCCCTGAATGACGCAAAAAGGATGTTAGTTGTGTAGTGTGTATCCACAGGTTTAAAGAGGTATGAGGAATATATTATATATATACAGTAGGAAGTAAAAGACATTACTGGGGGAACACCTCAGGCTATTTGTGTTGTGTCTCAGGGCTCAAAAACCACAGGCCATCGTCTTCGTGGCAGCAGAACCTCTTTCTCACGAGAGTCTCCAAATTCCACTCGTTCATATCTGAAGAGATTAGACACACTCATTTAGAATATATTTTAAATGTGTAGGATATTCATATTGATCGATTTGCACTTCAGCTTTAACCTGTACCTTAACCATGGTCCAGATCCTGCTATCCATAGGCGTAGGAAGCATCCTCAATGTGGTGGGATAATTTGACAGGTGGTGGGGGGTGGTGGAACTCAACTCTTCTAGGGGGATCGGGGGCATGCTCCCCCGGGAACGGATTTTGTTTTAAATGGTTGAAGTTAAAACATCAAATCTGGTGCACTTTGAGAGCAACATTAAGAGACTAGAGATACATCTCTCAATACCCATATTGAAACAGAACTGGGAAGCATGATTTCTATTTTCTTTTATGCTTCATATTTGGACTAATTCCACTCCCCTTCAAACTGTATATTGAGTTTACTTTCCTATAGTATGAGTTAGGAATTATTATGATACCTGTTATTCTCTTAATTTTTATAACTATAAAATCTGACAGGAAGTCTCTCCCCTCCAGGTTTATAACAGCGCCTTATATCCCGGAGGCTAGGGTTGGGGAGCACGCTCGTGAACTGTTAAGCGTCGGAGCATCCAGCGGAAACTGTGGCGCGCTCATTTTACAACTAAAGGACGAGGCTACACAAAAAGCAGATGTGTACGACGGGTTCTGAGGAATCTGCCCTAGGTACAAAGTAGCCAGTGGAACATAGTACGGATTTCATTGATTTGGGCATTCTCCACAATAAGCAAGTGGAATGGATTTGAAGTGAAGATGACACAGCGCTTACAGAGAGCGGCGAGGGGATAGGACCGATTTCACGGACTTTCCCACTGGTAAAAGTGGGGGGTCTAACTAATCGTTTTAAAAGGTGGGGGGTACTTGTTCCCAACCCTCAATAAATGGCTGCGACGCCCACGTACACCTAGAGAAAAAATGTCCATACATGTCATAAGATGGATATATTATTCCTAAACATAAACGACACATATTCAATTTTCAATATTGTAATCCTTTAACCTCATTTAATGCCACTGCTGTGGGCGTCTGTGCACAGTTAAAGATTTAAAGATGAGGTGGTGAAAAACTCAGACCCCTTCAAAGTGTA